AGGGTGAAGTATGGATCCTCCGATAATTTTACAGCGTACCACTCGTGCAGTGTACCGCTTGTATACTAGCCTTCGTAACACCAGGGGAAAAGTATAGACCCTCCTATTTTACAGTGTACAAGTCGTGCAGTATACGGCTCGGATACTAGACTTTGTAACCACAGGGGGAAAGTGTAGGAACCCTCCTATTTTACAGAGTACTATTCGTGCAGTATACCACTCGTCTGCTAGACTTTGTAACACCAGGGGGAAAGCAAAGACCCTTCTTTTTTACATTGTACCATTCGTGCAGTGTACCGCTCGTATACTAGACTTTGTAACACCAGGGGGAAAGTATGGTCCCTCCTATTTTGCAGTGCATCGCTAGTGCATTTAAATATCCATAGTATTCTAGACTGCTTACTTTTCCACCAATAGCCCAAGCCGCAATGGCTGCAGATCCAGCACACTGAGTGATCGCCGGAGGCATGTTAGGACCGTAACATTCACCAGAGTAGTTCAAGTACTCTCTTTTGAAATCATCTCGACACTCGTACAACAACATGTGATGAACCATTCCCTCGTGACCTGCCTGGATGACAGGTTCGACCTGATTTGGAAACGGAGGCAGAAATATTATTAAGTCGAATTATTCTGGCATTTTATTTGGTTCTTACTTTTAATTTTTTGGTTTCAATATTATATAAAACAGGTATATTCAATGCTGATGCGGTATATTCGGTTCTAGATTACAGAGGACGTCAAAATGTGGTAAGGACGTAAGTCTAATGGCTCGTGTGCCACTTCTTGTTCTTGCCACATTTTGATTTTAAGCTCGTTTATAAAAATTTTTATCGAGTGTGTCACTCATTGTCATGAGCATGTAACTAAAATAAAATACCTACCATGAACTTTATAAAATCATTGATAACACGTTATATAGAAAACACAGCCAATTAGAATACAGCTGGATAGACGTTGCCCACCAGCATGGTATACCATTGACTTAAAAGTGTTGTTTAACAAGTATAGATTGCTTAGCACGACAAAAATCTTCTATATAAGGTCACTAATAACTTTGGTCCTTATTAAAATATAAACTAATTTTCTTTGTTCAGAGCTAAAAAAACTGGTTTAAAAGTAGAATATTAAGTTCTTATCAACCGAATTTCATCATCCAAAAAGGTGTGAATGCTAAGAAGAGTTATATCACGTTCATTAGGGTCTCTAGCGGGGGTAGAATGATGTCATAGATTTTTGATTAATTGGAAGCCGTTCTCTCTGTTCAAAGAAGACTTTTGTAACCCGGGATCTCAATTGCCTCGTTTGTGCGACGTTTGAACGTGTTTCTTTCCGTCGCAAGAACTTTTGTTTTTCTGGAATTCATTGAATCTCACGTGAGCTAGCAATGTTCATGAAAAGCCGAGGAATTCCTCGAAACATGTTTCTCTACCCGTTTCTAATAAACATTCACATTTACATGTTAAAATTGCGGCTGATGAAGTTCGGTTCTACTTTTAAGGAAATTATAGTATCGTTACTCCAGAGCAGGAAACAACATTCTTGGTTGAACTTTGTTCGTTGTTGTCGAATACTTGCTTGTTGCTAACCTAAGCATTCTCTTACACCTGGTATTATATTAAACACACCTTTACGATGTGGCGTACTTCATTGAATTTAGGCATCTCGAATACTCGGCACTTGTAGGTGGTGCGGCTGGTTGACACGACGGTCTGAAAAATTTAGTCACGAAAATAACAGTCATATGTTAATATAATAGAGCAGCCAGTTCTTTACACTAACTCTCTTAGTTCTCCTCAGGGCCGCCCGTATGATTGTGAAAGGGTTGCAAATAGTTATGTCTTATTTTTTCTGGTTAGGAATGGTAATTAACTTAATTAAGACAATTTCCAGCACTTTCTGAAGGGTCATTTTTATCACTCTTTATTAGCTGATGGTACAATCATGGTATCAAAAAGCTGTCCAATCAATGGTGAACACGTTGTTATCATTTTCGTGACATAACAGAACCACATTAAATTTTGGAAAATTTAAGGTGGCTCTGAACCCCACCTACAGATTTCTTTTAAATTTTGCCAATAGCTGCGTCTTATCCTGATTTTCAAAATTCACTTATGAAAAAAAGGTTTCACCGTGCAGGATTTGAAATTAAAATTAAAGGGTGTTTTTAGCAGGCCATACTGTTTGTATGGTAACATTTGGTGTCACAAAAATGATAGTAACGTCTTTAGCTATGTAAAGGCAGTTTTCCGTACCATGATTGTGGCATCAACAGATTAAGAGTGATAAGAATGACCCATCAAAATCTACGTCTTGGAAAGTGCTAGAAGCTGTTTACAGCCACCTTAGAAACTCAGTCAAGGAGTTATTGTGGCTATGTACAAAATTACTTTCAAATTGAAGGCGACATAATAATAGCAGTTAGCTGAGACAGAAAAACACCAAAGACAATAATAAACTATAAAGGGACAGGGATGGTTAAGGATAGAGACGATTAACACGTATTACAAACGACGGACTTGAAAAACTTAGGGCAAACTTTCCAGGATGCGCAAGTCGTGACATAGTTCCTCTGACCAATAGAGGTAGCAGTTTTGCAAAGCCGGGGTTCCTTTTTTGAATTATTTTGTTAATCACAACCTTGAATTTGCAACAAGGGCCAGCGTAGACGTTATCCTTTTGCACTCCATTATTATCAGTGGCGATCCAAACCTTGAGCTAAGGGAAGACGGGGGGTGGGGAGGGGTGCGGTTTTGTTTTGCTTGGCCTACTGGTTTTTCTTCGTTCTGTGATTTTTTCTTTTTGTAACCAAAATAAGCCGGGGGTGGGGGAAGAGGAAGCTCCCCTAGACCCGCTACTGCGTTTCCGACAGAAAAGGTAGCCCTTTCATATATCATCCCCTTTCTCCGTCCCTTTTCTATAACCTTGATCCGACGCTCGCTTGGTAACCACTCCCAACCCATTTACGTCCGAGGGTTAAAGGAACAGGGTAACTTTGTCCCTTAAGCTCTTTTCTTAGAACAATTGTATTAGAGAAAAAAAACAAAAACAAAAACTGATCTCAAATTGTACAGGATCAAAGACTTACCCTGTTGTGTCTCAATAGGAAAGTTTCAGTGTCCGATGGTAAAGTTGGCACTTTTTCAAGACTGTTGAGCAGCATCAGGCTTCTAGCTCCCCTGTTTTGAGGGCTGTGCATTGGAATTTCATCCTCTGAAGTAGGATCATCTGGGTGATAGGCATAAATAACTTTGGTCGTTCCAGCCTGGAAAAAACATATTTAAAACAATAGTACTAAACCAGATGATTTATCTGACTCATGTGGTGGAACACCTGTTACAAAAGCGAGTTAAAGTTATTCAAAAGTGGTGTAACCCCGAAAGCGAGTTAAAGGCCAGTTACGTTTCAAACAATGATTTTTTTGTTCTCTTAACTCAAAAACATTTGAGTTCTTGGTTAGTAGTACACGACGCATATGCCCAAGGCATTTGTTTGGTTATGGCACGCTGAACAATGTAAGTTTTAAAATCAATATTGTCTAGTGTCCATTGCTCTATCCCAGAAGAAAGACGTCGAATGATGGGGAAGCCTGAGGCAGATTTCAAGCGATCTTTGGATGCAAGCAGTCAACGTTTCCCGTTTATATTTCACTCTTTAACTAGACGTATAGCGAGATAAATGTACGAATAAGCCAGGAACACTGCTCCAGCATCCCCTTTCCACTCACTTGTGGGGATAAGTAGATTTACTTGTCACGTAACATTCGAAGCCGTAGAAAATGCAGTCAAACAGAATACAGCAAAGTCGCTGTTGACTCACACCCGACCTTCCCATCGTGTTCTGCACTCATTGTAATGGCCATTGCCTTTCTTGTGGCAAGGTTTCAAATAGTCATGTAAAATATTCGAGAGTATGCTTTGAAACTTGCCACTGGAATTTCCTTGCGTTGCAGCATACAGTGTACATAAGACTTTAATTTACACACGATAATAACATCAAAGCTTCCAGGTGCAAGACCTGATTTTCTTGGCCAAGAATTAGAGAAATGGAAAAAAAAAAAAAAAAATTAAAACTCAACCAACTTACCTCAATTTTGTTGTCCTCTGAATCACAAGTGTCAAACTTTCTTTTTATCTTCATAATGGTTTTTCCGTCCTCCTCCTTCAGTGAAATCAACTCATAGTCCTGCTGTGAATCGACCTCTGGCATCACTCGACCATCCGCATGTCTATCCTACAACACAGCCACGATTACACATAAAGTTAATGATTCACCCGGGACTACTACTGTTAGTGACACTGATCAAAATCTGGCCTGGGGGGAGGAAGAAGCACTTAACCCCCTCCCACTATATTATTTTTGCGCTCGCCGCAAATTTCCCATAATGTGACCTAATGCGAAAATTTGACGCATGCTGCGCACGTGACGTATGTACACAACATTCGCTGTACTCTTTCATGTAAGTGTCAAACAAATAAAACGCAGCCTTGAATAATTTACGTGTCATTTGCATTACAACATCCCTCCTCCGCTTGATCTTCAACGGTACGCTTAAGTTCTTGCGCGAAATAATTTGAGTCGAGCCGGCTTTTCATCAGAGGGTCGTGATGATCCTGGTTGAATCGAGTCCATACTGACACATTTCTACCCTGCTCCGCTTCTTCAATTAATGCTATGCTGGAATTTTCTACGTTTCTCCTGAAAAGACTTCCTGTGAGTCTGAACCGTGACGGGTCGAGTCGATCCGACAACATTTACAGCTCCCGGCTATAAAGCCAAGAGACTAGTCTATTGATAAGGCCTAGAACGTTACGTCTCTCGCCAAATGACTTTCTGAGTCTCGGCTCGTTCGCCACCTTAGCTCTTAGATCATCAAACTCAGTTCGGGAGCATTCAACAACCCTCCTTGTCATACACGCCACGCAAGTAAATACTGACACCTGAAATTAAATCTTCGCGTTATATTAAGGAGTAAGGCAAGCTTCGTGTTTGTTATTGTATCAATCAGTACGTGAAAATATTGTTAACCGGCGTTGAACCATGCATAGAAGTTTGGGCGAACCGTTCGAAAGTTTTCAAAGAAGTCGCAGTAGTATTTTGTAATGGCCAATTTTCCGTTTTTGTTTTTCCTCATACCAGCATACATTTACTCACCTTAAAGTAAGTTTTGCCATCTTTCACCCAGCCTATTACAATATCAGCTCCTTCCATCTTGCCTTGTCCACTGGAGATTCCAAACCCGATCCATCCAGTCGTTTTAGCTTCTATCGTGAAATATATCTCTTTTTCTTCAGTGCTAACATTCCAGTAGAGATTCACATTTTGATCTTCATCCAGAGCAGCAAAAAAGGAATGCTCTATAGCGAGGTCAGCAGAGGTTTGCAGCGCAACTAAATGTAGAAAGAACAGATACAGAGGAACAGTCATCTTGCCCTCAGTTGCTGGTTGTCAATAACTTGAATCTAGCCGTTGAGTTACCTGGCACTTATATGGGAAGTTGTTGAAGCGCACAAGGAACTAGACTCAAGTCCGGGAAGTTGCGTCACGTCGATCGGTTTCCTTATTTAACTCAATATGACATGAGTCATACAATTAACTTTAGCTTTCTCTAGTGTTGTATTTATCGTTTCCGTTTAATAACCCTCGTGAGTGTGAAATGTGCTTACGCGAGGTCACGAGTGGCTTGCTGTGCAAATAAACACAGAAAAGAAATTACTTCCTGTGGTGTAACTCTGAAAAATTATCCTTTACCTTTGCAGTATTGAAGCTTCTCAGTGCTAGAAGTCTATATACAGTTTGCGTCCCACTCGAAAAAAAAAAAAAAACCTCTTTCTACCTTACTGATAATTCACTGAATAACATTTAAGACCAAATTCCCACAAAAAATCAAACAAAATCAAATTTCTTCGG